AGAAATCTAGGGGTGGGTCTGACCCAGCCCCAGATGCCGTGCAGGGGAAGAGGAAGTCCTATCACTCCCCAGCCCAGCCAAGACCAGCAGCTGAGCCCAGCACAGGGTAGGAGCCACCAGTCAGGTCTTCCCCAGTCCTGCCCCCTCTCCCACAGTGATTTACCTCTCTGCCAGCTGCCCTGGACACCCGAAACATACTGCTGGAGAGGATTGCATGACTGCTCTTGTGACTTCCCTTTGCTTCCCTGTCAGAAAGTTATTTTTCTGTGGGGAAGCAAAGAAATATGCAGGGGACATAAATTCTTCACATGCGCAGTGGCGCAGAATTCCACAAGGATTTTGAATAGGCATAGCAGTTACCTTGAAAAGTAGGTGCCTTGAAAGGATCCATGCCAAAGGTTTGTTTTTTATATAAAGGGGAGCAATAAAGACTTTAAAAAAGGAAGTAGGTTATGAGATGTTTCATAGGTTAGGAGATGTGCTGTAATAAAAATGTTCTAGAAATCTGTAAGCATCTCTAAATATGGCCGGTTTGTCTATTTAGTTGAAATGTGCTGGATTTATTTTACATATTTGCAGACTAAATTATTTAGTGTTACTTGAAAACGGTTTACTGGAGCTCCCTGTGAGAGATGGACACATAATGCTATCAAATTCCAAAATTGTTCCTTTTGAAAGGGACTTACTGTTCTATACTTCTGAGGCTCTGGAAAAAAAACAGGGCAGCCTCTGCTTACAATTCAGGCACTTCCATTTCAAACTATCCCTAGATATAGTAAATATGAAAGCTAAATGTTGGGTATGAGAACGGTGGGGAGGGACTAACCAAAACTGGTTTTTCAAACAGACTGACCCCACCTAAAAATAGACATGTTGAGATGGCCTGAGTCTCTGTTTCAGAGTTTGACCTATTGATGTGTCTGGGAACAAGCAGAGTAGTCACCAAGTTCAGTCTGTTTGTAGCCAGCAACTATGTCCTCTCAGTAGTGGTTCTCAACCTTGTTGGGCTCAGGACCCATTTGTAAATGTTCATGGCCTGTCATGACCCAGTAAATAGTTTGGTGGTGGAGACCCTGGGGTGGTTTCAGGTGGGTCCTTCCCCCGGGGGGTGTTGGATCCTGCACGGCATTCACCCCACAGTGGCAGCTCCTGTGCTGTGGGCCTGGCTCGGCTTGGCCCTCCACTGTGGGCATTGTGACCTAGGGGATTGCAGTGCCACTCAGTTTTGGCCCCATCCCCCAACTGGACCAAATTTGTGAGAGTGGCATTGCCACTCAGTCAAATTTGGCCTACCTGGACTCCTGGCTTCATGATGGCTGGGTCAAACCTGAGTGACGCTGGAACCCCAGAGGTTTCAGTCCCTGGAGCAGGGAGGCAAGCCCAGCCAGCCCCGTGGGACTGGAGCTGCCATGCAACCCTTTGAAAAAACTCTGACTCAATTTTGGGTCCCGACCCATGGGTTGAGAAACCATGCTCTGGTGGGTGTATTGTGATTGCAAATACTTGTGAACCTTTCCACCTATGAGTGGCATCAATAAAAAAAATAAGTGTTTGGTTATTCTCGTGCAGAAAGATGCTATGTTTTGCAGCTGTCAACCATTTTTAAAGTAAAAGATGTGGTCTCTTTTTTTGTATGTGAGGCTACATGTAGTCTTTCTTGTGCCTATGTAACTTTTGTAGATGCTTCAAGATTTGCTCCTTTCTCCAAATTGCACTGTTCTCCTGTGCCGCACTCTTCACCCCAACGGTTTTGAGACTTACAGGCAGATAAGATGACCTCCGTAGGAGCAACACAGTTGCATATCCACAAATTTTAACTTGGGTCTTCCATTCAGTTACATGGACTTCTGTTTCCACAGAGACCAAAGCTCACTTATTTCATGGAGGATATTTTTAAGAGCCATTCTTTAGGTGGTGGACTAACATTCTTCCTTTAAGAAGGAAAATGAGTGGTGACAGAATCCTGAGGAAAAGAATTAGTCTTTTCAAAATATGATTTTTTTAAGCTCCCCTCCCCCGCTGCACTCTTTCTTGCCAGGTTGTTTTCCACACTCTTCCTTTCTTCTCTTCATGACTCCAGGTTCTACTCCGTCTGCTCTCTTTCCACCCATGCATGTCCTCTCCTGTGTTTCACTTTCCACCTGACTACTCCCTTCTTATAAAATGTTTAATATTTTAAGGAGTGGAGACATCACGCTAAACCCAGGGTTGTGAGTTCAATCCTTGAGGGGGCCATTTAGGGATCTGGGGCAAAAATTGGGAATTGGTCCTGCTTTGAGCAGGGGGTTGGACTAGATGATCTCCTGAGGTCCCTTCCAACCCTGATATTCTATGATTCTATTAAATCAAAACTTAAAACTGCAGGTGTTTAGATTCTGTTTCACCTTGGACCTTGCTCTTGAATCATCAAACGCCCTTTGGCCCCGCAGTAAATGTGCAAAATATAAGCACGAGTGTTTTGTTCAGCTGTTCGGAGGTGAATTTGTCTGAGAGATGTGGCACTCTTCTGATCAAAAGGAGCAAGGGCAAAGGGAAAGATAACTTAAACTAGTTGTAGGAACTTCCACTATCTCATTGCTTGATGCTGATTAGCTAGAAGTGATGTAGAAATGACAACTACGTAACTAAAACAATCTTTAGTTGCCCTTCCTGCTTTGTGTCACTGTTAATTCTGGTACCAGTTACACCCTTGTCACTTGACTCAGTGCATGTTTCAGCACGTTTCACTGTATACCTTAAAGGACAATATTAGTCTTAATTCTTTAAAGACAAATATAGCAAAAATGCCACTTCACAGCTATGATATAGTCAGAACTAAACTTTTAATGGCTCTGATACTTAGTCAGTGAAACAGGGCTGATTGCAATGTAGGAGATCCCCAATGTTTATAGCACTTCACACGGCATCCTACTTTAACTGATTTGCTTCCTGCGAAATGCAGATTGTACCTTAACTTTTTTGTTTCTAGAGGGCCTATCACTGTGGTAGCTATGTGCTTTGCTGACAACACAAATTACATAAACCACTTACAGAAACAAAATAAAACCAAAAGTGGTGAAAATGAGCGAATGGGGAAAATCCTAGTCTCTGGGCAAAGACAGGGTTGCAAAGCTCACACTCTAGGGAGCAGATCACTGTTGCATTGTGCTTCTCCTTCATCTACCTGCTGTTGTCTTCACATATGCTTAGATTGTAAACTCTTTGGAAGAGGGACATCTCTTCACTGTGTGTTTGTACGTTGTCTAGCACAGTGGATGCCTGACTCGTGCCTCTAGGCCCTACTGTAATATTAATAATCTGTGGAATGCTCCACACACACCCTCTCACACACCCACACCACATAGTGACTGCGGCTACAACTTTTAGGTTGTGGTGGTCTCTGCTCCTACTGCACCTATCTCTGAGTAACAGGGTGAAATGGCTGGTAGATGGATCAGCATAGTTAGGTGCACTGCTCCCAAATCTCTCGGCTATACTGTACCATGAAGTGAGTGCAGATTATTTTCAAATGACTTCTGGAGAGAAATCCTGCCCTCCTTTAAGTCGGTGGGGCCAGGATTTCACTCCTCGGAGTCTCTTCCTGTGCAACAACCATACAGGGTTTCACTGCCAGCCAGGGAAAATTTGCCCTAAATGAGCTTTACATCTTGAAAGACATCAGACTCTGGCTGTGACAGACCACTAAGAGGATAGAGTTCACTCCAGGGACAAATTTTTATTATAGTTGCTTACTCATGTTTCAGTAATGTTACACTGTGTTAAGCATTGCACAAACATCTGGGAAGGCGCAGTCCCTGTCTCAAAGAGACTACAATCCAAATAAATCTTGCTCCATTATAAAATTAAATATCATACTGTAATGTGTCCTAGGATGATTAGTACTGTGTTTCCCCTTCTCAGTAACTTTTCTTCCCTATCCCTTTTGCTGCTGCCATAGGAGCAGCTGATTGCTTGCTGGTGGGTTTCTGGTAAAGCAGCCAGTCATGTGTGCACCAGGCTGCTATCCATTTCATATCCAAAGGGACTGAAAACCTGCCCCATACCACCTGGTGGAATCCCAGCTGTAGGTTCTGACTTCCAGTGTCATGGCAATTGCTGTATTAGTGACAATGGGGCCAATCATCATTGGAAAAATGCACTCTTACAAACCGATTAAAAATATTTCCTACCAGAAGCGTGCATTCCTCTGCAGTGAATTATTTCTTTGTGCCTCTTGTAATAAAGTGACATTGAAGATCTGTGGGTAATATCCTGTGACTCTCAGAACTGCAGCTGTAATTTGTATTTTCAATATTGTGGTTATCAAATATTGTTTATCCTAAAAACTTTAGATTACCCTGGAAAGTAATTTCATATTTTAAACTAACTTTTTGATATTTCTGAGTATCTAACTAAGATTGTGATATTAGTGATACTTTGTAGCAGCAGATTACTATACATCAGTCTGTAACTTGAGCTATAAGTAACGATCTGAAAACTATACAGCACACCAACTAGGATGCTAACAGAATGGATGGGAATAATTAAGATCCATCCATCTTACATTTACTAAATATGTAAATGAGGCAATTGTACTTAATTTCCAGTTCGTATGATCGTGATTATATCTCCTCTTGGGTTGAATCTGACTCTTTTTATAAAACAAAGTTTTTTTTTAAACAGGAGACTGAGGGTCAGCGTTAAGATAGCTTTTTGTCAGTGTCAAACACAGTTTACTGCACTGTGTTGTGGAAGATAACTTAGATTCCTGAACATTCACAAGTATGGTTGGGAGTAACAAGCATGCCGATAATCCTGAAAGTGTTCTAATTACTACATAATACTTCGATAATGATTTACTCTATTACATACAGACTTGATACTTTCCTATATACTGGGAGTAGATTTTGGAGAACTGCAGTGGGTAGAATGTGTGTTTTGTTTCTGTCGCTGTTCTTCATTTGATCTAGGTTGTAAAAAAAAAAAAAATTAAACGATATATTTTCTAATTCTCTTTGCAGGTATGGTGTGAGTCCCGAGAACATAATTCTCTATGGTCAGAGTATTGGAACTGTCCCAACAGTGGACCTGGCATCTCGGTATGAGTGTGCAGCTGTAATCCTTCATTCTCCTTTGATGTCTGGATTACGGGTAGCTTTTCCTGACACCAGGAAAACATATTGCTTTGATGCTTTCCCAAGGTATGTGCAAATATTGCTAGAGGGATTGCTCTATGGTCACCTTAAACCTTTCTATAGTGTGTTCTTTATTTGTATTGTGATGTGCATCTTGAGCTTTGGACAGGCATATCTTATAAATCAAAACAGATAATAAATATATTCATTTGCCACTGAGTAGCTTGTAGTCTCAAACTGGGATGCTAGTTTGCTAAATAAGCAAATAAAGAAAACCCTACAATCTTCACAGCTATTTATCATTTCAATTTTTAGTGCTTGTACACAGTCCACCGATTCTGTGTATGTTAAATTTAGACTGGTAACTGTTAGCTACGGTTGCGCTGTCAAGTGCTTTTAGCTAAAAAGTAACACTCCTTTAGAAGTGTACATTGTTTAGCCAATTCTGATTTAAAAGGTACGTGGTATCAACAAATATACGTGAAAGAATTTTAGGCTTCTTGTTAACTGCTGATACTGCTGTACAAAAACAATAGACTGAAAGTGCTGGATAATGTCTGCTACTGCATAAAGGAAGAGAGGAAGGATGGCACAGTGGTTAGGGCGCTAGCCTAGTACTCTGTGACCTGCTCTGCCACAGGCTTCCTGTGAGTGTGTCTGCCTCAGGTCCCCATCTGTAAAATACTTCCTTGTCTCACAAAGGTGTTGTGAGGATAAAGGCATTAAGATTGAGGTGCTCGGATACCACCATAATGGGGGGCACCTAAGATCAATTGATGAGATATGTGGTACACTTCAGTTGTCGTCTTTAAAATGAGCTTAAATCTTTAAAATGCCGCATTGAAAGTTTAACGTGATTAGTTTCTGGATAACGAATACGCTTGTCTATATTGTTGGGCTTTTACATTCTGTTTTAGGAGGTACGAAGATATAAAGAGAGACCAAAACATTTGGATGCTAACATCTGTTCCAGGAATCCTAAACTGTATCAAACACTGAGTTGTAAAAGCAAGTGAAATTTACATTCTAAGAGTGAAAATCAGTGACCAGAGAGCACCCTTCAGTGTTGCAGTTGTTTTTGCAACACTTACAAATGTTTGTAGGTGGGATGTCCACAAGGATTCCATGTTCAGAGCAGAAACTGCATCTTCCAGAGCACAATCATTCTTTTTTTTTTCCTGAGTGGGGGAGAAAGGTGGAGGCCCAAATTCCACACATTGGAACCTCAAAGAATCAATTTTGTGGGGCTACTGTGATAAAGAAGCCAGATGTATTTTAACTCCTACTGCTTGAATAATTAAAACTTCATACTAATGAACACACTTTATCTAATTTGCATCTGAAAATTGCTTTAATAAACCAGTACATATTACAACATTTTGATATAGTTTTACTACACTTTTAAAGATGTAAGTGTAAGAAAATATCTTAAACTAGTGGCTCTCAACCTTTCCAGACTACTGTATCCCTTTAGGAGTCTGATTTATCTTGCGTACCCCAAATTTCACCTTACTTAAAAACTACTTGCTTACAAAATCAGACATAAAAATACATGTTACTGAAAAATTGCTTGCTTTCTCATTTTTACCACATAATTATAAAATAAATGAATTGGAATATAAATATTTTACTTGTATTTCAGTGTATAGTATATAGAGCAGAATAAACAAGTCATTGTATGAAATGTTCATTTGTACTGACGTCACTAGTGCTTTTTATGTAGCCTGTTGCAAAAACTAGGCAAATATCTAGATACGTTGATGTACCCCATGGAAGACCTGTACGTACCCCGGGGTATGCTTACCCCAGGTTGAGAACTACTGTCTTAAACCCCTGCTGCTTATTGCAGTGACTGTTAAGTGAGAAGTCAAATTTGCTTTGACTAATAAGCACCAGATTCTCGTTTGACTTCTCTGGGAGGCATCTCTCCAGTACAAATAGTTCTAATCCTTGTCTAAATCTGAGCTGTACAAGGCCATGTGGTGGAAGCGGTATTGTTTAACATTTTACTACTATGACGCTATGCTGCAGAGTGTACTTTGCAGCTACAGAAGCCATCCCTGATTCTCTTGTTACTTGAGTGTTTGCTATTAAGTATTCCGTGCAACTTTCTCCAGAAAAAGGTTCCTCATTTGAGCTTAGAAGTCATATATAGTAGCATTGTCTTCTGAGACTGTCATGAAGTGCTTGTGATACTGATCTTCTGACAATGATGCATGCAAAAGTCTGAGAGGAAAAAATACCCCAAGTAGTTTCCTGCAGCCAGGGAAGGGAGAAGACGAGCAAGCTCCGTAAAGGCTTGTGCAGAGTTGAGCTCTGTGATCTGCTGCAGACTTTGGGTACATCTACACTGCAAAAAAAAAAAAAAAAAAAAAATGGCACAGTGAGTCTCAGAGCCAGGTCAAGTGACTTGGACTTGCAGGGCTCCCACTATGATGCTGAATTGGCCGTGTACACGCACATTCTCACTCAGACTCTGAGACCTGGCAAAGGGGGTGGGTCTCAGAGCTCAGGCTCCAGCCTCAACGAGAATGTCTACGCTACTGTTTTTAGGCCTGTAGTATTGACCTGGGCTCGCTGCGGGGATGGTGGGAGGAGGGTTCACCACGTAGGCAGACCTTTTGCAGCTAGGATATAGCAGTGGAATTCATTCTATTCATTATGTTTTATCTTAACTTGATTGAAAGAGCTAACATTTAAAGAGAGAGTTTTAGGAATACCGTCTGTAGCTAGTGAGACAGCTGCTTCTTAAAATATATGATCTTCAAGCTTATAGTGCTACAATTTTTTTGTGAAGTTGTCATCCTTAGTACACTTCTCAGAAAATTAAAATACGAATTCACTGAGGGTATATTTAGTAGTTTAAAAGCTCTTGCTCTTAAACTTGTGCATCGTTCTTCTATTAGAGTTTTTAAATATCTAATATTTATGATTAAAATTAATACTTCTAGAGGAGAAAAAGCTAAGGTTTTTAATTACTTTATTTACAGGATTGTGTAGCAGTGATTAGATTGAACAAGCCAAGTCAAACAGTTTAAAAAATAAATAAGTGTGTATGGGGGAAAGGGTGTTTAAAGCTTGACAGCAGAGATGTTGTACGGTATTTTTTTATTACTCTTCTACTGATCTGTTCATTGCTCTGACTGACTTCACTTAAAACAAGGGAAATAAACATTTGTGCATTTTCATTAATGTGTACAGCACATCTGTCTGCCTTCACTGTAGGAAACAATGTTTATATACACTTTTGGAGAATGGCTGTTGTGTGTGTTTTATGTTGGGACCTCATGAGAATGTAGTCTCTGTAGATTTCCTAGATGCAGAGTGGTGTGGCTGAGAATACCAAGTAGGCTAATGTGCAGTTTAAATACTGCTTTACAAGTAGCTGAGTTGGCAATGGGATGCTGTCCAATTTTTTGCAAAATACAAATATTTTTTTCTTTAATGACAATTCTTCATCTGTATTCACAGACTATTAAGCTAGTTACCTGAATGCTGCAATGATGGGGATTTCCCAATTTTCTAAAATATATTAAAAACAGTAGCTAGCTAATAAGAGTGATATATAAAAAGACTTTTGTGTACATAACTGCACATAGCTGACATGCCTATTATGAAATCTTTACTCAGTAGCAGGCAGTCCATTGGGTTTTAAGACTTTAAACTAAATTAGTCAATATTTTGCTTATTTCACATTGCCATTAATTATGGTATTCTTCACCTGGGGATACAAATAAAAACTACAATTGTACATCTTATACTGACCGTCTCTCTTAAAGTCCTTATCTGTATTCCACATGGAAAAAGCTAAACCTGACTAGTCCATATTTAATGTTTTCCTGCCAGAATCTAATTTTAAAATCAAGTCTTAACTTTTTACTGTTTTAAGCTTGTACAGTCTGTTTTGAAGAGATACTGGGATGTAGAGAGACCAAAATGTTTGTTTAGCAATAGCTGTTACCTAGAATTCCACAGTACACCAAATGCTGAGCTTTTACACGCGTGAAATTCTTTGTTCCAGTTCACATTTAAATTTTTGAATGGAATTATCAGTATTTTCAAAATGTTGTATTTATTTGTAAATTGTCACATTGGCTTGCCTATCTTTTTGGTTTTTTTACTCATTTTGAGTGACTGGATAGATAGTTTCACTTTTGTGTTGTCACTTTCACATCTAGATGTTTCACTTCTTTCACTTCCTCTGAGAGTATCAACATCCTGACTCCCTTTAATTATTGTTCAACTTTATTTAACAAATCATAGAAATTAGAGGTGGGAAAAAGTTGTCTAGTCTATTCTGTCAGTTCAAGATTGTTCACTACAATAGATCTTCTGATGTCTTATTTCAGATGTCCAAAGCGATGGAGTTCTCACTACTTGGGGAACTGTTCCACAGTGTAATAGATATCACTGTTAAGAAAACTTGCTAACAAGCAAGCCTTTTCCTAATTTCATCTCCTTATTTCTAGTCCTATCCCCTTGTACCACCCTAAATAGTTCCTTTCTTTCCTTGGTGTTCACACCCATCAAATATTTGTAGATTGAGATGTATTTACCTATTATGAAAAGAATAGTATGTTTAGTTCATTCTAGTACTTGACGGGGAAGCAACAAATAATTCTATATGTAAACTGTTGGCTAAATATGGTATATTGGAGCTTAGAAAATAGAGTCGTGAGAACTACAGATACTGTAGTAGCTTAATCATTGTCCTTTCCTCCCACCCTACTCTCCCAAAAACAAAAAGTCCAATAGAAATACTATACTGCTAAAGGAAACTTGCATCTAAGCTGAATGTTTACTTTAAGGTCAAAATTTCCCCAAATTTAGGTGGTGAAAAATAAGCCTTTTCCAAGCCCAAGATGCACATAAATGTTTCCATGAAACAAATCCTGTGTATGTTTTTGTTGTTGTTGTTGATTTGCCGTTAAATATGTCCCTTTCGTGTTTTCAATCCTCACATTGCAATATTGTGCAAGTGCATATGAGAACCTGGAAGTGAAAATGACTGACCAAAAGTATAGTGTATTTGTAACATAACCCTATTATTTTTTTCATGGTGCGAGCAGAAATGCAAAATGAAAACAGCCAATTTAAATAGAGAAAATTATATTTTAAAATTAATCTTAAAATGAATTAATCCTTTAAAATAATCTGTATTAACCTCTGAGGTCAATAACATAGATAAGAATGCTTTCTAAATGATTTTTCAGTCAAAGGGCCATAATGAATTAGGGAACTGAATGGCTCTAGGCTACATTGGTCACTAGTTCAAATTCAGACGTGGTGACTTAAGTTTCATCCTCTGTGGGAATGCATTGGTGGGCTCAGGTTGGTTCTGAGGTAGACAGATGTCCACATCCTAGCTGGTATGATGGGCACTAATAAGCCAAAGATTTGACCAGGCAGGAGAGTGGACAGACTTCTTGCCATTGAAGAGATTGGTAGCATGATGGCAATAAAAGGGGAGCTTGCACTGACCGTTATCTTTGCCTGTTTTGTGGATAAGTCAGTGGGGCATCAAGGGGGGGGGGCATCCATTTAAAAAAAATACAATATTCCTTAAATGTGTTTAGTAATTAATTCAACTTCGTTTTCTTTGGTACTACAAATGTAAAAACTAAAAGCCTGAGTAACTTCTTTTTCTTTTCCATCCCCCCGCCCAGCATTGACAAGATATCTAAAGTAACCTCTCCTGTGTTGGTAATTCATGGTACTGAAGACGAGGTAATAGATTTCTCCCATGGCCTGGCAATGTATGAGCGATGTCCACGAGCAGTGGAGCCCCTCTGGGTGGAAGGGGCTGGGCATAATGACATAGAGCTTTATGCACAATATCTAGAAAGACTAAAACAGTTCATATCTCATGAACTCCCCAACTCCTGAAGAAGCCTACTTGATTTTACCTCAGTTACTGTGAATGGAAGAAACTACCTGTTTTTTGCACATGCTTTAACTGGATAGCTGTAATAGCTTTATACTATGAAGAAATACCTGTCTTGAGGGTGTTCTAATCAAACATCTGATGAAACTTGTCTTTTATATCTGGAAATTATTCTACTAATGCACACAATATGGTCAACTACTGTAACTCCAATGATTTTTAGTTTCATTACTCTGGAGGACAAGGGGATACTAGCTGAATATGGGGACACTTTTAATCTAGTGCTGTATTAATATTCTAAAGTCAGTTTTCTCTACCGTCTGATCATTTATAATTCTGTCCTATGAGACTTTTTTTCAATGTTCTCAGTATTTGGAACACAACTGTTGTGAACTACAGCTTGTTCTTAACAATCGATTCATGGGTTCAATCTAAGGGAGTACTTTCTTTGTAAATTTCTAGCTGTGGTAATGTAACTGGAAAGTTGTTGTGACGAGGTCTTTCCTCTTAGTGATCTTTATTTAACTTACTAATCTTCCCAAGTAAATTTATTTAAGATGTCCTACTCTTTCCTGGAAAAAAAAAATTTACTACATGGGGCTAAATTCTGTAACAACCTCTCAGCCATCTGTATAAACATAACTGGAATATTCTTAAGGAAAAATTAACTGAATTGTTTTTGTTTAATAAAAATAAATGTGTAAATTCATTAATAGAAAACTCCTTTTAATATTCAGAGGGTCTGAATAAGAGCCATAACATTTCCTTCTGTAAAGCATTCCTGTAGACTTTTTAAAAGTACTGTACATATTTGAATTTACATTGTGCATAGATTCTTAATTGGTAGTTTTAATTTAAGTCTAATTACAATAAACTGCAGAATTCTGGTTTGTATATGATTGAATACATTTTGTTAAAATATGTTTTTATCCCTATATTATTTTGCTATTAAAATTTTATAAGATTTCCAGGACAAAAAAATTAACATTTTATGTTTTTGATGAATTTATGTAACTAAATTTTCATTGAACTAATCTTTTTAGTTTAGAAGTAATTTGATTCTTTGACACTGGAATCACACAGAATATGCATCAGAAATGCAAGACACTTACAATTGTTACACTACTACCATAGGTCTAATTTTTTCCAAATTTAAAGGCCTTAAATGTACTGTAAGCCTCAGATTGTTGTAAACATTGATTGCGGTTGATTGCAGTTTGTGTACTGTTGCTAGAATGCAACACAGTGGTTGTAATGGAATAAAGGATGCATGGATTAGAGCATATTGAATCGTGAATCTCATTTGTACTGTCGTTTTCATACAAAAGCAGCAAACATGAGGTATGGAAAAATTATATTTTGGAAGGAGGAGAAAATACCAAATAATCTGGTGGCCTAACCTTGCATTTTAATGTTAAATATTTACAAAAAGGCACAAAATAATCCTAAAGAGCAAACCTGCCATTCTGCTCAATATTTTATGTAAACGGAATGTAAACTGGTGTTGTTTGGTAAGGATTCTTGACTTACTGTTTAAATATTGAAAATCATGGCTGGGAACAATGTTTGAAAATATGGTCATCGCGAGATCTTGTGACAAGGATGCAGTTAACTAACGTGAGCACAGCAAGTGTGCATGCTATCTCGGAGATTGATTTAGAGCGGTAGTGCCCTAGGAATTAAAGTAAAATTGAAATTTTCATGTTTATCCCTGAATCCTAGAAATTAAAGCTAGAAAAGGTCAGTTAGATCATCCAGTCCCTCTCATCAGTCCAGGCTGGTTCTTTGCAATCGACCTTGTGCAGTCAGATTTTAAATAGCCCAAGCAATGGGGCTTCCAGCAGTTCGCTTGGTGACTATTCCACATGCTGTCAAGTGAGTTTTTGCTTCATTTTCATCTTAAATTACCCTTTTTGTTTCAGATGACTGAGCTTTGTAACTAAATGAGGTGTGTTCGTGTCATCTTTTCATCATATCCCTTTTATACAACCCCTAAGAATTCCTTTCCATCTCTGAGGACAGCAGCTCCCATTATTAACATCTGTGGGAGTTGTTCTGACCCTGTGATGAAAGAGTGGGGCCCCTGCTGTGCATACTCTGTTTGTAGATATAGGCCTATGCATTCAAAAGTGACTAGGGACTTTCAGTTTCTCCAGTTCTGAGTGTCCAACTTGAGACAATTTAGAGGCCTGGTTTTTCAGGAAATGCTTACCACTTTGTCACTTCTGAAAATTTAGGCCAGATTATCTCTTCCCCTCCCCTGCATAATGCAGTCACTTTTAAATATTGCTTAGACATGTTCCACTTAGCTCTTTTAATCTTTCCTTTATAAATCACTTACCCTAGCTTCCTCAATCACTTGATACAGTAGTCATTGAATTTGGTCAAATTTGTCAGTATCCTAGTAGTGAGGTGCCCATAGCTGAATATAGTTCTCCAGATGTGGTCACATCAGCCCCATATAGGGTTGGAACTACTTACTATCTCTTTGCTGCTCCTTGAAATGATGTGTACCTATTCAGCCCAACCTTGCAATAGTATTTTTCACTGATATTTGCTATTGCATTGCAGACATGTCCTGGGTACCCTCACCACTAGATTTCTTTCAGCATGACTGTTTTCCAGATCTTTGTCTAACACTTCCTTCAGATTTTTTCCATTTACCCAAACTTTCTGCCAATTTTTAATATGTATAGGTCCCTTGATATTTCTCTGTTCTGGTCAATGTCAGTAACTCCTTACAATTCCATATAATCTGAATTTCATTAACATGTTTTAAACTTTCCCTGTCATCAATGAAAACATTAAATAATGATCCTTGCCATGACCCTCTATGATGTTGCCTTCTCCCTTCAATTCAATAAATTTACCCTCAAAGAATTTTCAGTGCATTCAACAATGTTCCTATCCAAGCATGCTTGAATCAGTTCTGTGAGTTGTGTGATGCTATCAAACTCTTCGGTGAAAAAGCATATATAAAATATATTGACCTCTCTCTTCACTCCAGTAATTTTGTAATGATCATTCCCTGACTTTGGGCATTTGAATATTTCTAATTCATACATTTAAAAATCTCCCACCTGTTTAAAAAATTGATTTATGGGATGTCAGAACTAAATTTTAATTAAAAATCCATGACTGACTCATGGAACAGCTTAACCAAGCGCAAATCCAGGACACTCTATATTGAAAGAGAATAGTATTAGCATAGGACCTTTTTGTATCAAGAGGCGTAATGGAGTGAAACTATGGGAGAGGGGCTTTGAACTATTGTTTAAAATGCTCTGGGTTTGCAAAAAATATAATCAATGGGACTTTTGCTAAACTCCAGCTGATAAAACAAAAAAATTGTAATATAATTTTGTTCTTAAATTTAGATATGCCCTTACCATAGTGTAAGCATGTTTTAGAGCTATCACGATGTCTCTGAAAATTAATTGCTGTCTATATGCTGTTTTGTAAACCGTGTTGCTGGAGTACTTAGACGGTCTTTTAGGGTGTAATGTTTCCTAACTTTTTTTTTCTTAGGTGTGTATGTTGCTTCCATTTATGTTTCACTTGGGACAGCTGTGAAAGCTTTATGAAGTAGAAATTTTGGGGGTAGAAAGATGGCATGGAGCACGACTGTACATCTGCATTTTTTTTTTCTTGACTTCTCAGTTATAGCTGGTATGGCAGCATTTGGGAATCTGATACACACTGTTTACATTTCTAATGTAGTCATGGTGGTTCTAATGTTGGTACCCTATCCCTTAATTTTCAGACTCTTCCCTGTATATCTGTTATGTTATACCCCTTCCACTGCTTAATTACCTACTGTGATATAGGCTAATTACTTACCTTCTGCTCTTAGGGAGATTGTTACTTTCTGCTGGAATTTGTCCAGGCCCTTCCCCTAAATCGGGGCAATCTTACATGGGGTACTGACTTGTTAGCCCCCTAAATAAGCACCAAACTCTGTTTTCAGATTAGTGCTTTGGATCTGCAACACTTTCTATTCCTTATTTTGGAGGTAGAGGTGTCTCCCTACCAGCCAGGTGTGGTGTGGGGGACTGGCCAGTCTCAGTGAGAACCTAACTCCTTCATTTTGGATTTCCCTTGAAGGCAGCTTTAGGAGCATCTTCCTTCCGCTGCTTCTTGCTGCCTCTTTTCTGAACAGCCGTAGCTTAGAAAATAACAGCTCGAGGCACCTTTGCTCTTGATCTACCTAGGCCCGGGGCTGGGGGAGGTCCTATGCTGCTGCCTGGCAACTCCACGTTCCCAAAGACTTTTGGGGGGGATGGGAATAGGACCTCCAGGGCCGGCCTGAAGTGCCTGGTGGTGCATCCTCTCTGCGCCTCGCTTCAGCCACTCTGCGCCGGCCCGCTGCATCAGGGCCGGCTCGGGGCGCAGCAGGGGCCCTGGCGGGGTGGGTGGCTTTCGGCAGGGGGTGAGTGGTTTGCATTGGCTGCTGTGCCCCGTGCGCTCTGGACGCGTTCGCAGGGAAGGCGGCTGGGGGCGGAAGGGAGTCCCCGGGAGCCGGGCTGCCAGGTAAGAAGCGCAGAGCAGCGGCCGGGGGGAAACCCGGCAAGCACCGAGCTCGCCCCGGCTCCGTGCGCTCCCAGTCCTACCCTGGGCCGCGGCGGCAAGGAACCGGGCTGCAGCCCCGTCCCCCTAGGCGCCGCCGGGAGAGGGCCCTGGCGCTTCCTGCACGGAGAGGGGAGCTAAGCGCAGCTGGGGCTGAGACGTGGCCTGGAGGTGCCAAGCGGACTGCAGGGGCCATCGTGCGCGCCCCAGCCCGGCGCTGCGGAGAGCACCTCCGCGAGCCAGGGGGCTTGGTGCAGAGCGGAGTGCCCGGCTGGGCGGAGGAGAGGAGCGAGGCTCAGCCACCCAAAGGCCCCGGGCAGTCCCGGGAGGCTGGTGGGTTGTGGGCCGGGCTGGTGCGTTGGGGGTCGTCGGAGCTCTCTGGTTCCCCCGCTCGGTGCTCGCTCGCAAACACCGCCCGGGCTTGTGCTGCGCCGAGTCCCGGCAGGGGGGGGAGCGGGGCTGCAGGGGAGGACAGCGGCTGTGCTGTGTGGGGGAGAGCGCGAACGGGTGGAGACCCATCTCCCCTTCGTTGCAGGTTTAAAATCCCAGGCCTCTGCGCCCCTCCCGCCTCCACGTCCCTTCATGCAGCAGCGCCTCCCATTAGCAGAACTGCCAGCTCGCCTGCCGCCATGGCTTCAAGGTCAGCCCCCCTGCAGCCGGAGAGCAGATCAGAGGGGCTGCGGCCATCTGAGCGTCGCCCGAAGAAGAAAGCCAGCAGCGGTGTGCGTCTCTCAGCACCCAGCCCCCGTGCCCTGGTACTTGCCAACCTGCTGCTGCTCCTGTCTCGTTGCCCAGGTTCTCAAGCGACAAGTTTAAACAGTTAGTAAAACGTTGTCTGGGGCTCCCGCAAGCGCTCCGCAGTGGGTTGGTTAATGTAGCATTTTGGTGCAGCTGACGCGTGAGGTTGGCTAGAGTGACATGAGGACCAGTAGTTTGCAGCTCAAATTACAAATGCCGTGGACGGTGCAGAAGCTTGCCAATGGGCAGTGCTAGCAGCAAAGCTGCTTGCTTTATCTGGCTTTCAAGCGGAGGCCTGCAAAAGTGCTGAATCAGCAGTTCTTGGGCATTTAAAACAAGAGAACCCAGAGTTCTGTCCATTTTGCCCCAGCATGTTGAGTACATGCTCCCATCTTTCCTGCTGTTTGGAAATTCTTCTGGACTTCCTCAGATCCACATTTCCCCTGCAATTCGGGGCCACCGGGGGTCCAAAATCAGCATCTAGATCAGAATGTTGTGGTTTGATTCCATACCACCTCCTTAACACATACTACTGTAGCCCCTGGGAGAAGGACCAATACATATAATACTATTATTTGATGTTTCTCTTGCTGGTATTGACTTACATTTATCTCCTTTATTCTCTCCAGAATCTGAGTTGCATTTCTCCCTCCCCAGCCCAAAAGTGAGCACTAGCTGGGTTCAAGCGTGTACACACAGGCCATGTGCAAGTTTCCATTACACAGCTCTGCCCCTCGATGCGCCTCTGCCCCTCCACTTCCAGTCCTGGATCTCTGTTGAGTGGAGACAGCGAACCCTGTTGGTGCTTCTTCCAGGCCCCTAATAGGATCTTTAGTTTATCTTTCAGATGATTGCTGGTAATAATTATAATATAAAGATAAAGTCACAGTTGTAAATACTTTATCTTTAACTCCGATGCTTAGACACATGACATAGTGCAAGGTTCATTTGAAAAAGATAGCAGATATATGTATTGTTTAAAACAAAATATTGCTTATTATTAGTACATATAGTTAGGAAATGTTTTGAGTTTTCCATGGGGAAAAATGACTAACATTTTCTACCAACACTTTTTGGGTTTTCATTAAAAAAACTCCAAACCAGAAATATTTTAAGTTTACAAAGTGTGATGTCATGGCTGCAGAATGCAACCTATTTAGATAGTGTCCCAGAGGTTTTGATCCAAAGCCCATTAAAGTTAATGGGAGGCTTTCCATTTACATCTGTGAGTTTTGGATCAAGGCCATACTGGTTAGAACAGGAAGCTGGATTCAGGACTCGTAGGGACTAACTGTCTAGACATTTGATTTCAGGGGGAGCTATGCACACAGTTAATAGGATAGTTAGGCCCCAGCTGAATTCTTTGTTCCTGGCTCTGTGACTGACTTTATCATCTAATCTTTGGCAAACCTCCCTGTACTTCAGTTTGCCCATCTGTAAAATGGGCATAGTAGTTATCTATGTCACAGGGGTGTAGTGAGCTTTAATTTAACAAAGTTTTTAAGTGCTTTGAGATCCTCCAGATGAAAGATTCTATAGAAATGCAAAGTATTGTTGTTTACTATTATGACATAATAATTCTGAGATAGTTATACATTCCCATCACCACCTAATAAAACAGTCATATCACAGCTATGGTGTAGTAAAGGGTTATTCAGCACAGCTATGAAATTATGGCCCTGGATATGCTTTTTTGAAGTTTAAAAAACCCAACAATTTTATAGAATTTTTACTAATAGGATTACTACATGCAAGTCAACCTTCTGATGATTGGCTGAGTTTAATGTTGCCATCCACTCATCCATCCAGCAATGAGCTGTTAACCATTATCTTCAAATCAAACACATTTGAAGCTTCTAAAACATGCAAGAGGACAGAACCATTTTGGTAAACATAAAACCCCTTAAAATCTTGTCATTTCCTTCAAAAGCATAACAGAAAGGAAACTGTGGATCAGGAAGGCTCCATGTTTATATCTTGATATTATTTAAAATCCTATTTCAAAGGCCTTTGGGGTGGCACAGCTGGTTGGTTTAGTTTTCTTATTCCTTTTAATTATTTCAGTGATCGTGTCTGAGATTTTCAGTCTGATAAGATGTATTATTTATTGTAAAGACAGAGGGAATTTAATTACATTTAATTGTTGTATTTATTATTGTTAGGGGGCTAGATTGAGCCTTTAGGCCCAGCCTGGAGTACAGGGTGGTATGTAACTTGCTCTGCCTCAGGAGCAAACCTGGAAAGTTTCAGGGAGTCATGATTCCTCCCCTGTCTCTCTATTGCTCCAGGGAGAAAGTAGTGCACAGATTCTCAAAGGTATTTATGCTCCAAACTCCCACAGATTTCAATGGGAATTGGGCACCTAAATACCATTGAGGATCTGGACCTAAGTGATTGCAGCTCTTGAAAAGGTGAAGCTGGATCCTTGCATCTGGCAAGTGGAGGATAGTGGGGTGGAGCCAGAATGCTGCCCACTTACGCACTGGGAAAACATTCTGGAGCAGAGTTGGGCAAACTATGGCCCGCGGGCCACATCCAGCCCGCGGGACCCTCCTGTCCTGCCCCTGAGCTCCTGGCCCGGGAGGCTAGCCCCCAGCCGCTCCCCCACTAATCTCCCTCCCCCGCAGCCTCAGTGTGCCACGCCACTGGCACAAGGCTCTGGGGGGCCGGGCAGCGCAGTTGCAGAGCCATGTTCTGACCCGGTGCTCCAGGCAGCGTGGTAAGGGGGCAGGGGGGGTTGGATAGAGGGCAGGGGAGCTTGGGGGTGTGGATAGGGGTCGGGGCAGTCAGAGGGCGGGGAACAAGGGGCTTGGATGGGGCAGAGGTCCGGGGGGGGGCAGTCAGGAATGAGAGTGGGGGTTGGATGGGGCGGCTGGGGACAATCAGGGGTGAGGGGTCCAGGGGTGGTCAGGGGACAGGGAACAGAGGGTGGTGGATGGGGCAGGAGTCCCGGGGGGGGGGGGGGAGCCATCAGGGGACAGAGAACAGGGGGTTTGGATGGGGCAGAAGTCCCAGGGGAGCTGTCAGGGGGCGAGAAGTGGAGGGGTCAGATAGGAGGTGGGGGCCAGGCCACGCCTGGCTGTTTGGGGAGACACAGCCTCCCCTAACTGGCCCTCCATACAATTTTGGAAACCAGATGTGGCCCTCAGGCCAAAAAGTTTGCCCACCCCTGTTCTAGAGTGCAAGGGCGAACTCTACAGCAGGGGCCCTATCCAGCTCTCATTCAAGTCTGTGTAAAGATTCCCATTTACTTGAATGAGAGTTGAATCAGGCCCCAGATCTGGGCCCAAGAGCTGAGTAGGCTAAGCAGGGGGAGTGAAAGGGGCCTTTCCCCCCTCTCAGCCAAGTCAAAAAAAGGGCCAGTCTACCACAAAGCCACTCAATGCATGTGGGGGTTGGATGGGGCAGCAGGGGACAGTCAGGGGTGAGGGGTCCGGGGTGGTCAGGGGACAGGGAACGGGGGGTGGTGGATGTGGGTCAAATTGTGGGTCTGTAGTAGATACCACGGTGTTTGCTTGCAGACATTATACAGAACGGAATGCATTGTCATGGTCACTAGTTCTTGTTCGTAAGTAAGATACTAATTTAGACCAGAAAATACCCAAAATGGGTTCTTAGATTACAATCTTTGACCAGAGTAAAGCACCAATAGCTAAAATACATGAGTCATCATTGAAGTCTGTTAATTTGGCTATTAAAACATACTGTAAGCCTAACAAAATACATTTATGGTGCAGTAAACCAAAATATATTCAGTAATACAGTGAAACATTCTTAAATGTATACTTTTATAAATCTGGTAGGAGGAAATATGTTCCTCCCTCGTTATGCCTAATAGGTTTTTACTGTATTTATGATTATTTCAGAAAATAGCCTGAATCCCAACTGTTCTTTATGGGATATGGATTATGAAGGACTATTTCACAGTAAGAAAATTCTCCCTGGGACTCCTGGTTCATATAAACTCTCCAGCCTTCTTAGAAGTAATGCTCTTGTAAGTCATGAGGAAAGAAGAAGGTTGGTAACAAATCGGAACCTGACCCAGAAATCAAAAGAAGAGCAGGTATCCTGTGACATGCTCCTTAAGCTTTACAGATATGTTTTTATGGATGCCTTTGGACGTAAACATGCTTGGAGAATCTTTCGATTTCATAACTGTGATAAGGAAGTCAACCCACCCAAAATTCAGATCAACCCTCTCAAGCTGCTGCAATCCAAACGGAAGCCACTGTTGCTATACTGTGTGCTTAAGCTCCTCAGCGACATGGGAGTACTGGCTGAAGCCCAGCAATCCAAAGCCTTCTCGCTGCTAAAGAAGCAAATGCTTAAAAGAAGGAGACTGTTGTTTAAGTCGGAAGTGAAACAAAGCGGTAGGTATATAAGGAGAATGCACGTTTCCTGTGTTCTTGACATTTTCTGCTTGCATCTATGTTTACCAGCCTCATGTGACCAATGATGTTTAATTGTTTCACCGATGAGCTTAAGGATACATGTTAGAATGGTGGCTTCTAAGTGCTGGTGCTTTCAACTTTTGCCATTGATTAGTACTTGGTTGCCCATCTTCCTCCCCTCTTTCCATTTACTCCCGCACCATAAGGCCCGATCCTGCAATGCTTACTCGCCGGCTTCAGTGGGGTTAATGGCAGGGATTATAGGATCAGCCCCTCAATGAAAGGCTTGACGTTCTGCCTCTGTTCTGGCACTGCTGCCCGCTTCTCATTCCCTTGTCTGACCTATAACCCACAGTGGAGCATGGGCTGCTGTAAACCAGCCTCCTGCAATCTGGCCTGCTGTGCTGATAGTTTGCTACAAGCAGACAGGATCATGCAGAATCCAGTAGGAGAGGGTTATAGGAGTCTCACTGCGGCCCTGCAAAGCCTTGACCCAGTGTTCATCACTAAATGCCCAAACCTGCAAAGTGCATTGCGAAGCATCTCCTGCGAAATGCTGATCACCTGAATTTCCATATTGACTTTAGAGGGAGATGAAGGTGTTCAAAATCTAGTAGGAAGAGATCCTATTAAGGTAGGTAGGAGAAAGGAGAATTTGCTGGCTGCAGAGTAAGGGATGCTAGAAAGATTCTGGATGCAGAATGTAGAGGTCAATGGCTGACAGGTTAACTGGTACAGTTGCCTGGAAAGGTTGAGTACCATTCTGTTAGAAGACCACCTCTGAAAGTCAAGAACCATTAAAGGGAATGTTTTGGCTGTGCAGTGTCCAGCACAATACCTCCCCAATTCTGTTGCGGGTCTCAGAGTGCTACTTTAATACAAATAATTAACAATAATTTGTTGTATATTATACAAAGCATTTCTGGAGGAGGTTGTACTAAAGGTTTTAAGCCATTAGAACAAATTTGAAATACTTTGATGTATTCTGATTTTCTCAAGACTGAACTGAATGTATTTGCCTACAGAGAGATGCAAGTAATATAACTTTTGTTGAGAAAACAAATATCAACACAGAATACTCAGTAGCATTTGCAGTTGGGAAGAGGCAAGTTTTATATTTAGTTATTGAAAATATGTTGTGTTTTAATGGTGGCGATAAGTTGGAGCCTCATGTTATCCATTTTCAGGATAAAGTGTCACATTATATATGAATTCATATGAAACGGATTCCTGCTTTGATCCATTCCAGCCTAAACCGGCAGTCATAGCAAGTATAGTCGTTTAAGTGATCCTTGCAAGCAGTTAATTCAGTACAAATCCTGGAATAAGACTTACTCAGTATTGTTCATGAAAAGGACCCTTGAGAGATGATCTGAAAGATATTAGGACCTGAGTATGCTAATCATGTGCAAGGGTGACCCCTGTTGGTAGAATTTAAAACCAGATGTGGACAAATCTCAATTACCATCCCTATCTGGTAAACCAGTCTATTGGCTTTTCTGTAGCTTCTAATTTTATATCTATGTAATTAAGAAATATTAAAAAAGAATCTCAAAACAACATAGAGATCAAAACACTAATTCTCTCTCTCTCCTCTCCCTCTCTCTCTGTATGTATGTGTGTCTATGTATATATGTAATGTGTATGCATAGATACATACACATATATCGCCCAAACTATTTACATAATTTATGCTAATATGTATCTGTAGTGTATGCATTTGAAAACAGTCCTGAGCATCCAGTTTTTATTTGAAGTAGACAGACTGGATTGTGTTGTAGAAACAGGGACTGCTTTACGTAGGGTACTTTTGTTCAAACTATGCCATGGGAACTACTTAGTGAAAACTGACCCTGCTTTTCCTTCCACCCTCTGCACAGTATTAAGGAAACAGGATATCATTCACAGAGGGAGTTTACCAGGGAGGAAAGCACTTACACAGGAAGTACCATCCCTTTATTCCTGTGTGAATTTTGTGTCTACTGCCAGAAGAAAGTCAGGGTCATTGTGGGAACAAACTATTAGTCAAATTGTCTATGTCATAAATCAGCTATTTTTTGTCATTCCCTTTAAATGAGACCTCACTAGATCCCAGTCAATCCAAATAAAATTTTCATGCAAAATATTACATTTATTGCAACATGTTGGGGCTTGAAATATTAAAGTTTCCTAATATCAGGGAGTCCATTAGGAAAGAGTGGCATGACCCATTTTGTTTTTGATTAGCCTAAAAAAAAAAAAAAAGTGTAACAGTAACAGCAAAATGAGGTCCTTTCGCTAGGAAAGGCTGATGAGACAGATGTGAGGATGTTCACATGGTTGGAAATGTTCTTGTGTTGAGAAAGCATCTTGAGTAGTTGAAGAGTATTGTGTAAACTTTAATTGGAGTTTATTTGAAAAAGAAAAATAATCCTGAAAATGAGGTTTGTCAAGGGTGAAATCAGCCCCATTTCACCTCTTCAGTGTCAGCTCTCGCATAGTAATAGGCCTCAGCTCATTTTCCTAAATATGCCTGAAGTGGATTCTTAGAAAAGCATAGAGATGTTTCTAGTCTAATTTGTTCCACAGTTTTGCCCATATGCCAGTTAGGACCTTTTCAATGCTGGGAGAAAATTACCTCTAAATTGCTCACCTCAAGGCAACCTTTTCCTCAGGAAAAGGATCAAATCACGATAGCTGTGCTTCTACTAACACCACAGAGAGAGAGAGAGAGAGGGAGGGCTTTTGGAAATTACTTAAATAATATAAGAATCTGGAGATCTCCGCAAGCATACGGATAAAGATTTAAAGGCTGAGCTTGCAGTTCTTCCTCTGGCAAAAGTGCCACTGAAATCCTGTTGCATAGGACCCTAAGGCAAGTACAGGCTGGGGGGGGGGGTCTCATTTAGTGATAACCCAAGCCTTGAATACATTTAGTTCCAGTATTGATGTATTAGCATAATACATACAGCTTGAATATAATTTCTCAACCTGTTATTTTTATTTTTGTCCAGTCTATTAACCTTTATTTTCCTCTAGAATGAACATTTTAGTTGAAGGTGAATAAGACAGTCGGGGATGCAACGGACATTTGGATAAATGCCTATGGAAAATAAGTTCTAGTTCTCTTATACCTGAAATTCTGCACATTTACAACAGGTGAACTCAGACTCCAGAGATCTACAAACAATTTAATTGGCCCTGACCCCTCCCTCAGAAGAAATCTTGCCCCAGAATAAAATTGAGGCAACAGATTGAAACAGTGTGACCAGATGATGGCACATGAATGTATCTCCCTTCCCTTGCTGTTTGTGATCAGCAGCACTTATGGCTTTGCACAGTGGGCTCCCCTTTAGCCTAGGCTCTGTGTGGTATCTGTGGCTGGTATATTTGCCTCCTCACTTCCAGCTGTCCCTCTCCTCTGGAGTGAGAGTTTTTAAATGGGTAGTGTGGGATTTGATGAGGGAATGAATCAGCTCAGTGGCCACAAATCTGTGCTTTAATATATTTATCCGTCACCTGGCAGAATCTCTGGTCTTTCATGCTGCATTTAACAGCATAAGAAATACTGATAACTTTGATTCAGAAAAAAATTGGAATCTGAAATGGACTTTTTACTCCAGTCTAAAGACTACTGCAATCAATGGGAGCTGGAGCAGACCATTTAAGAGCAAGGGACCTGATCCAAAGCCCATTGGATCAGGCCCAAGGCTTGTTGGAATACCCCCTGAAGGTACTTTTATAGCATTACAGTGACTGTTGTGGGACAGATGACCTCTCCATGGGTGTCTCAGCCTCAGAGCAGTGGTATCCTACCTCCTGTGATTTTCATGCATTCTTGTTCTCAGTCCTCCCCATCAGAGTTCTTTAAACAAATACTTGTTCCCAGCTGCCCTCCGGCTACACATCCCAGAGAAAAGGGGGAGGCTGATTTAATTAGACTGATTTTGCAAGATTGACAAATGAAGAGCTTTCTGTAAGCTCCAAAACTTTTCTCTCACCAACAGAAATTGGTCCAATAAAAGATATAACCTCACCACCTTGTCTCTCTAAATTATCCTTAGGCATCCAAATCTGGTCCTAGGCATTTCCAGCTACTTTGCCCACAACCTTTGCTTAGGGTAGAAAGGGGAACACACCTCACTCCTTAAGCATGTAGTCTGGGGCACTGGGATTTCCCAGCCTTTGTGCCTGGCAGCAGCTTTCCCTTTACTGCTCACCTCCTCTACCAATTTCCCTGCAGAAAGTTTAGCTCCCTGCCGAGGATCTGGGGCCCCAGATAGCTCATGCCCCCAGTAAGGGGAAGACTGTACTTTGCAAAGGACAGAGGCAGTCCAAGTCCCCCGTTCCCTCTGTTGATCTCCAGACCTGTGTGAACCTCACAGAAGGTAGCAGAGGCTGCAGCTGCAACCCGTAGGGGACAGTCTGATGTTAACAGGGACTGTGCACCCCTCTCCCACTCCCCGGGATTTCAGGGATTTCCTTCCAGCCGCCTGACAGGTCCAGCCACGTGCGCGGCGAATGCCCGGCGCGCGCCCCCTCGAGGCCCCGGCGGGCCAGGCGGGGATGGATGCTCGCCGGCGGGAGCTCGGCTCGGCTCCTTGCATCTGGGCGCCAGCAGCTGGGGAGCCGCACGGCGGGTCCAGGAGGAGACGGCGTCACCGGGGTGGGCGGAGCCAGCGGCTCCGCGGCTGTAAACAGTGGGGGCAGCGCCGGAGGCCGGGAGATGGGCTATAAATAGGGAGGCTGGGGAGTGGAGAAGCAGCGCGGCGCTCAGGAGCAGCTTTCACCTTAGCGCCCGCGGGCTCTCCCTGGTCCGGTGCCGAGCCCCGCGTCTCCGAGGGGGACTGCCCGCGCCTTAGAGCGGCGAAGGGAGCCCTGCCTAGCCGCTGTGGCTATAGCAGCCGGGGATAGGTAAGCGGCTCGGAGCCCGTTGTTCCTCTGGCGGCTCTGCCCCGCGGCGGCCGGGCCGGCGCCGGGTTTTGCCGGGGGACGTCGCTGTGTCTGCGCCGGAGCCCACGTGCCTGCGGGGCGGGGAAGCGTTTACCCAGCGCCGCTTTACTCCGCAGGTGGCTGCAGAGGCGCGCGCCCCGCCTCGGGGGGCCGGAGAGCGGGGGCCGGTGGGAATAAAAGGCTTTGAATGACGTGTCTCGGTGTGTGTGTGTCTCTCTCTGGGGCTCGGAGCGTCCATCGCCACGTGCGGGGCCATCCCAGCCGGCGTCCCCTTCGCCTGGGGGATGCTCGGTCCTGGGCAGCAGGTGCCTCCAGCTGCTGCTGCGGGCTCGGGCCGGCAAAGCCCCGCCGCGAGCCGGGCAGGGCTCCAGGACCGGCCGCTGTGGCGGATGGAGCCGCTGCTCTCCCGGGGCGCACGAGTCCGAGAGCGACCAAGGAGCCTCCGGGGGCGTCTCGCCAGTGCTGCGGCATCCTGCTGCCGAGGGCTCTGCTCCCGGCCCGCCTCCTCGCCTGGGCCCGGCCCCCTCGGGAACCGGAGCCCCCTGCGAGCTCCAGCGCAACAGGTGCGTATCCTCGGGGCTGGGAGCTGGGCTGCGGGCAGAGCGCGGCGGGCCGCACTGAACCGGCGTGTGCGCCTGTGTGTTGCAGGCCGGTGTCCCGAGCGCGCCCCGCACCTGGCTCCCTGGCGTCCCGGGCACAACAGCAGCCGCTCCGTGGTCATCGGCAGCGGGGCGGCCCTGAGGCTGGAGAGCTCCGCGACTCTCCACTCGCTGCGCATTCAGGACGGAGGTAAGGAGGCCCCAGGGGCTGGGCGCCCGCCTTCCCCCCGGGCCTGGCCGGCCGCTCAGAGACCTGTCTGGGGGGAGAGCTGCAGCCGGGCATGGCCAGAGCCTGGGAAGGGAGCAGGCACCCCCAGGGAATCGCAGGGGCCTGACCCGCTGGGATGATCCCCTCCAGGAAGGGGGTGGGTCACTGGACGCTAAACCTGGGCGCCCCCCGGCTCGGAGCCTAACCCGAGGTCTCCCGTAGTCTGTATGTGGGGGGTGGGGATCAGAGCAATGTCCTGGCATGTCGGGGAGATCTGTAATGGTCCTGTCCGCTTGCAACCTCCATGATCCTGTGTGCCACGCCGGGCCTGCCGGTGGCCAAAGGGGGCTTGCGCCCTACTAGCCAGGCTGCCCTGTGGCCAGGAAGGCGGGGCACGAGTCTCTGGCGTTACGTGCGAGTCTCCCCACTTCCCTTTCAGGGGTGCTGGTGTTTGCAGATCGGCAGCAGCCCATCGCCTTAAGGGCCCGCTACATCCTCATTCAGGATGGCGGGGCGTTGCACATTGGCTCCCAGCAGTGCCCCTACGGCTCCCGGGCCACCATCTCGCTGTACGGGAAGGCCAAGGAGGGGCCGGAGGTGGAGAGCTACGGAGAGAAATTCCTCGGGGTGGACAGAGGGGGGACCCTGGAGTTACACGGCAGAAAACCTCGCTCCTGGACGCTGCTGGACAAAACCTTGTACGCGGGCGGGCTCCGTTATGGATCCTACCAGTCCGAGAAGCGCTGGAGCAGCCGAGGCCTCAACATCCGGATCATTGATGCGGACACCGCCCAGGTGGTGGCCGCTGGTCGCTTTGACACGCACCTGCTGGCCGATGAGAGCAGGCGGCTGCGGGAGTTTCTGGCCACCCAAGCTCCGGGCAAGGTGGTGGCAGCCGCAGTAGGAGACTCGGCAGCGAAGAGTTTGACTCTGGAGACCCGACTCCTCCTCAGGGAGCTTCTTCATAGCAAACACATCCTGCATCTGGGGTACAGGTGAGACGGGGGGGGGGGTATTCGCGTGGGGATTTGCTCCAGTCCCGTGCAGAAATCCTGCACGAGCCCAAAACCTTCACTCCTCGCCCTCTGGGCAAAGAATATTTAATCTGCTGTAGCCTAGTCCACGTGCCCACATGGGATCACAACACAAGCTAAGCGCAAACTAGCCCCAGGTTTGCTGATTCTGCGGGCGGTCCGCACTAGTGTGTGACAGCCAAAGAGAGGGGGGACACCGGGCTAGAACTAACTTTTCTAGTGCCCGGATCAGGCTTTTCCAGTCCGGACAGACGCCGTGTTCATGTCCTTGTGGAGAGTGTATGTGTTCCAGGGCTGAGCTTTTATTATTGGACATGTGGCAGGAAGGCGTTGGAAACCTGTAGCACCACCATGGACAGCTCCTGGGCCTCTTTCCTAACAGCTGACAGCTGTCAGCTCCAGATTGTAATAGTAACTCCCTATCATCTAAAGGGGTTTTCTAATTCAACATTACTTTTAACAGGCATGATCACCAAACTATATATAAACTCATACCCATGTGCTTAGTGTACTAATAAGATCAAAGCAAGCAAACTTCTGTAAATAGGAAACATTCATATTTTTCAAGCCACTGGTGTATAAAATTAAACCATCATTAAGGGAGCATAAGAGACTATTATAGAATCCAGGCTTGCTTTATTTTAAGAATACTTTCTGTAACAGGGACTCTGCATACAAAGGATCTTTCAAGGTTGTAGGGTACAGGGTCTATTTCTGTCAATATGATCAGATGCTTCTTGATCTTACTCAGGCAGCCCTGGGCTCTGGTTGGGATCCTTGGAGGTGGTCAGTTTTCAACAACAGAAGATACAAAACCGTATCCAGGGAATGGAACAACTGAGCTAGCAACAGCAGGAAGAGATTTTCAAACTTATGAAGGAATCCATTTTAGAGTCACTGCTTTCAGTGGATGGGAAAAAGGTGTAGTGTACTCTTTTTTTTTTTTTTTTTGCCATGAAAATCTGAACTAATTTAGACTAATATTATAGAACTTGGTCAGATGCATGGGGATCATAGACCAACATTGTCATGAAATAACAATTGGGGACAGTCTTTATGTCCCATAAAAGGATATAGACCTTGAATTATTTCATTAAAATTGGTTGAGTAGGTACTCTTTGCAATTATCCAAAATGCACTGGTACACAACATAAAGAACTACTGACTGTCTTAGTTTTTTTTTCTTTTCTCCCTAGGGATTCCTCATAATGGATTTAGAGTGAAAGTGTCCAAAGGCATAATTCTTAACTTAGTGGATGAGGTTACAAGTTGGTTACCTGGTGATAGGATAGTCATTGCTAGCACTGACTATTCCATGCATCAAGCTGAAGAATTTAATCTCCTTCCTTGCCCTGAATGTAAAAGTAATCAAGTGAAGATTGATGGTATGAAATATGTTCTTAAGCTATTTCTGTGCAAAAATTATTTTCACTTTTTAACTCCTCTTTAGCTGAAGTTTGCAAAATTGGGGCCAGTCCTGCAAATACTTTAGGCATATAAGTTTAAACAAAAGAGTGTTGCCCATTGAAGGCAATGAGACTACTCAACTGTGTTTGCTGGCTGGTTGCTCATTGATTTCAACAGAAGTGCTCAGCACTTGCAGAATCAGACCCTTCACAGTTGTGAAACACACAGGAAATTCATTATAAGTAAAATGACTGACTGAATCTTGTTAGAAACTTGTGTATGTGTTTAGAACTGTGTGGTGAATGAGGGTCATAAACTTAGTTACATTTAAATATTTTTTTTTCACAGGCAGCCCACTTTATCTTCATATTGGGGAAGTTGTAGATGGCATAGACATGAGGGCAGAAGTTGGTCTCCTGACTAGAAATATACTTATTCAAGGAGAAATGGAGGACTCTTGTTATGGACAAAATCAATGCCAGTTTTTCTCCTATGACACATTTGGAGGACAGATTAAAGTAAGTGGCTTGCACGCGCGCTCTCTCTCTCTCAACTTCAGATATCTATTTACTATCCAACTTTATACATGAGTAATGTAAAATGACAGTTACATATTTTCCCCAGGTACAGCAAGTATGTATTTGTGTGTAATGAGAGAGAAAATACTACAGAGGTTATTGAGCTATTTGCAAAACTTGATCCACAATGAAATTACACCCTCTTACTCACCTCTAATATAAAGGTTGAATATACACTTCTATCCTCCCCTGGGTTAGTTTGTTTTTTGTAAGTCATAGGGGTCATTATGAAGTTACACTACCCAAAAAGGAGACTTTACTCCCTCCAGAGGCACAGTTTGCTTTATTCACTGCTTTCCCCCAGGGCATCAACCCTGCTTCACAGGCCCATGTGGTGGTGAGGTGGGTCATGACCCCACCTTCATATCCCTCTTCATTTTCAGTGTCCTAATCTCTGTAGGATAGCAGGAGCAAGCATTCCCTGTGTTTCCCAGAACACAAGGCCTACTATTGTGAGCGACCCCTGGGCAGCTGTTCAAGGGAACAAGGATCATGCTAGAGCTTTACCTCTGTGCAGCCACGCAGGTCCCACTCACAGTCTGGGCCACTGTGGTTTTTGGAGAGGTTTTTCTCTTCCCCCTCCCCTAAAAATAACTGGCTGGACCCCCAGCTGATGTAAATCAGAGTAGCCTCAGTGAGGTCAGGTGGTGGAAATTAATGGGGCTAAGCAGAAAATGAAATGCTACTGGGCTAGATCGAGATGTAGCTACCAGGAAATATAGACTTTTGGTGGCACCATAAAGATGTTAAATATGACTCTTTGCTAGCTGGCAGTAGTATTTTTTTTTCTCTATAGCTATTACATAAGTGTGTATATTGCCAGGAATAAATGCGATAAATGGTTCATTACTGTTCCTTTTGGACACCACTACCCATTCGGTATTTGGGAAGTTGAGTCATATGTAGAAAGATGCAACCTTTGGGCCTAATCCTATACTGAAGTCAATGGAGCAGATTAGCACTTTGCAGGATCAAGCACTTTGTTACTTGTTTGAAAATTTGTTTCTTTTTTGCTGTCACACTCTTGTACTGCAAATTTTTTTTCCTTAGGTCTATGTTTGTCTCAATAGATACAAAGGAATTTTACCTCCGTTCACATGGCAGGAGTGGAATTAAAAAACATGGGGCAGCAAAT